TAATCTCAAGGGATTTACTTCAATTCTTATGTTCATCCATCACTAAAGTGCTTTTAACTTTTAACACATGAAAAAAAAATCAGGAAAAAATCTCATTTACACAACATAATCACACTCAACTAACAAGACTTATTAAACAGAACAACACTCGGGCCTTATTTAGCATACAAAACAATATATGTATAATGGAATGAGGTATATGAGCTTTTTAAATCTGATAAAAAAAGCTTCAGTTGCAGAATTCAAATAACTTAGAACAGTTTTAGTATGACAAAAAGAATACTCACATTCCCAACTTATATCTACAAAAATACTGGATTATTTAAATCAACTAGGAACTTCAAATTAAATTTTAAAAAATGTTTGTACCTCCACATTTTAGTACATATATGCCAGAGATTTAAGAATGTTGGTCAACTCATACTGACCTTATAAACCGGGCATCACAAGCAAAAGCCTTGCTGGCCGCCACTTACCCGACAAATCTTATGGGCAGCAATCATAAGGTAAGGCTAGATGTAAGGATAAGGGTACGGGTAGGAAAGTTGGGGTAGGGGTGGGGGTGGGGGTAGGAGTGTGTGAGTGTGTGAGTGAGTGTGAGTGTGAGTGTGAGTGTGAGTGTGAGTGTGAGTGTGAGTGTGAGTGTGAGTGTGAGTGTGAGTGTGAGTGTGAGTGTGAGTGTGAGTGTGAGTGTGAGTGTGTGTGTGTGTGTGTGTGTGTGTGTGTGTGTGTGTGTGTGTGTGTGTGTGTGTGTGTGTGTGTGAAAGAGAGAGAGAAAGGGGAGGGTATATAACAATAATTGTGAGAAAATGACTACATTCACCAAAAGTAAACCTCCAAATATAAGAATACTCCATGCTGTATAGTTTTATTCAAATTTGCTGTACCAGGCTCCTGACCAAATAAACTAATCCTGCATTTGCAGCAGATATTCATAATTGAGGGTAAAATAATAATAACAATAAAAAATATAAGTATTTATCATGGCTAATTACAGCCTTTTTAACAATTCTGTGCAATGTCACCTCATAGTGATCATATATCCATATCCCATTCTGGAAACTATGTGACATTACAAACAGAAAATAGAAGCCATTATCACAGAAACAAAATTTTCTTGTAATTCAGAGGAAGACTAGGTTATTTGTTTTTAGCACAAATTATATGCAATTACTAATTTCATGCCATCAGATAACTTGCTTGTGGAATTACGTACAGGATATCATAAATACAAGCTTTATTGTACTTCTTAAGTGACAACATTCCTCTCTATCTACTGAATCATGTAAATACCAAAAAGTTTTTGGAAAATCTATTTGAATATAAATCTGATAATTACCTTAACAGATAACTTAATCTTACTTTCTCAACAAAATTCTTATACCATCAAACTTCAGTCTTGTATGAAATCAATGGACCTATCATTAATTATGTTACACTTTTTACAAAATTCAAATGCCATCTTAATTTTCCATATTTGGGTGAATACAGTTACATGTATTAGAAATAAAAATGTATTTCCTATCAGTGTCTTTAATTATTTAATTGCCAATTTGAAGAAACTATATTTTTGATGTTTTAGATGTGCTTTTTCTTAGATGATACAGACAAAAGGATAAACACTGTCACTCTTGCTTTAAAAAAATATTTTATGTGTATATATATACTTTTACTGCAACTGATCTTCATAAATCACAACTTTGGGTTGTAAGTCTAGTAGCTTTCCCAAACGCTGCACTGTAAGCCTCACTGGAACACCTGCCCCAAGGTTCACAAATGCATATAGATTTTCCATCTGTATTGATGGCTGAGGAACACCATACCAACTTTGTCCTTCATCATCACTACTGCTGCTTGTTGATGCTCTTGGTTGTGATTTTGATGTTGACTTCATAGCAACATGTCGCTTTTTCACAGTCGTTATTGACTTCCTAGCTGTATTTTTCATTTCTGGGATGACCGGAGATTTGATATCTGCAGCTGGACTACTAATGTCTGTCACCTGAGGGCTGCTGCACTTCGATATCACTGGGAGAGGAACCAGAGGCGGATTTTTTACTTCATTTGAGCTATGACTAGGCGTGGGACTGTGAACAGATGACAAAGCCTCATCCATTAAGTTTGTGATGCTGCACTCAAGATGTGAATGAAGGAATGCATGGTGAGTGCGCATTTCCTGAAGAGTTTCTCCTACATCACCACAATAATTGCACTTAAATGGCTGCTTCATTGGAGGCCTCACTGGGGATCCTAAAGCCAACTTCGAAAATGTAAACTCATCTGCCTCAGGATGATGACGTCGAATGTGGTACCGCATAGACTGCAAGTTCTTGACAACATGGCAACATACATCACACCTATAGAAAAAAAAAAAAAAAAAAAAAGAATAAGTTTGTATACTAATGAAAATTCTAGATATCAATGCCTTTAATCAATTCACCATACAAAACAACTAATAGTTAACATAAATAATTCTACTATTAAGTTAATTTAAGAAACAAAGCCAGTAATTGAAATATGCATATGTGATTGCCAACCCCAGTTGTGCAACAATATGCATAAGCAATTACTGCAGAATGACAAAAGTAAATCCAGACCTGTAGTATATATTTTGGTTAACGCGCACAACTTTAAAAGGCAGATTCAGATGAGCTGTTTTGTGGTGTCGTTTCAACACAATGTGGCGTCCCCTTTCCCCACAAAAAAAAAATTGAATAAGTTTGTATACTAATGAAAATTCTAGATATCAATGCCTTTAATCAATTCACCATACAAAACAACTAATAGTTAACATAAATAATTCTACTAGTAAGTCAATTTAAGAAACAAAGCCAGTAATTGAAATATGCATATGTGATTGCCAACCCCAGTTGTGCAACAATATGCATAAGCAATTACTGCAGAATGACAAAAGTAAATCCAGACCTGTAGTATATATTTTGGTTAACGCGCACAACTTTAAAAGGCAGATTCAGATGAGCTGTTTTGTGGTGTCGTTTCAACACAATGTGGCGTCCCCTTTCCCCACAGTGGCCACACTCATATTCAGCTCTGTAAATCTGTTCAAATGCCTCTTTACGCATTTTCCTGTATTTTAGTTCCCTATCAGTGTGGATCTGAAATTATAAAATTCGTAAATACAGGATTTCCAGAATGCATATTAGCCTGAATGCATATTTTCATATATCAATCTAAATATACACATTACAGCAGTTTCCCAGTGAACTAAAATCTGTAAAGAATTTTGGATATTCAGTAATTGTAGAAATGGAGGGAAGTTGTAGTTGACATGACAAAAACAAATAAGGGAATTAAATAATAATTAATACATATATCACATGTTAAAACCTCTATTTCTATTAGAAGCAGGAAAGAAAAAAACAGAAAAAAAGATCTTGGCTGTAAGACAAACAGTGATGAACAGAAACCTATAATCACTTACTTTACTGAAGTGAGCTTCCAATTCCTCCAATTTAGCACTACTTTTCTTGCACAGTCCACACTTGAAAACAAAACAATCTTCATCTAACTCAGAGCTGGTCTGAACCAGTGGCTCATCAACAATTTCAGATGTTTCAATCTGTTCATCCTCACTGTCAGGGTTAAACTGCACAGGAGACTTTGTTTCTTTGCCACTTGTTCTTCTCTTGGCTATATTCAGAGGTTTCAATGCTTTGGTACTTTGTTCCTCTGAGCTACTGCTGATGATGGCACTGGACCCAGCTGCAGAACTCAAGCTAGTGTCAGCTTCAGGTGTAACAGAATCTTTTACCTCGTCAACCAAGGTGGTCTGCGGAGGGTCTTCAGTTGTACTCGTAACTACCTGGTTTGACACTTCTCCACAATGCCTCATGACCATTTGGAATTTAAAATCAAGCAAAGCATGATTTTGAATCCAGTGATCCATTGCTTGTGCTAGGGATATGCTTTCTACAACACAATGAATGCATTTGTAAACATGAACTTCTGTGAAGACTTTGTCTCCCTCCTCCCTTCGAACTTGATATGGAAGATCCCTGTGTTGCTTTTTCATGTGCTCTTCCATTGCAATTTTATTAGACTGCTGGTTGCAATGACAACAGGAGTATGTCACCTGCTGCTCACTATTACTGACTACTGACACTGGTTGTATACTATCCACCTTTGCTTCTGTTCCAGGTTTTCCTGCAGAAACTTTTAACAACGACTTTGCATTTGGGAATGATTTTCTGGCTTTACCCTTCTTTGACTTGGGGCCAGGTGGCCACTGTGGTGAGCTCCCACCACTTGCAGATGATGTGGGGTCTTTTATGACTGTTGTTAATGAACTGTCATTACTGTCTGCACTTGTAGCGTCCCCATCTGTTTTAGGAGTCTCACTACTTGCTTGCTCTTCCTGTAGGTGAGTAAACTGAGGTTTAAGGTGTGAGTGCTTCCATTTATTATGACGTACAACATCAAAGGAGTTGTTGAAACGGGCATTGCAATGAAGACACATAAAGAGTCTTCTATCAGCATGTTTCGTGCGTTTATGGTGGCTCAGGCCTGATGTGGTGTTGCTTACAAATGGACAGAATGGACACTTATGAGTCTTTGTTACCTCAGGAGTATCTCCCCCCTCAGTTTTACCCTTTTCTTCAGATGGTTTATCTCCCTTGTCTGTAATAACTTCTACGGACTCTGACTCTTTACTAGTAATCTTCTCGTCTGATGTATCTCCTTTTTCTTCCTCCTTTGTTGGGATGACAGAACCTGAGGAATCTTCTTTAATAACATTTTCTACTTCAGCAGGATCAGTGTCGTCAGTCTTCTGAGGCTTTAAACGCTGTGAAACATCTATCACTTCACTCTGTAACTTTGGATGTTTGACAGTGCAATGCTGCTTTACTGCATCTTCAGTGTTGCTTGCAAATGGACAGTAATGACACTTGAACCTGAAATAAAGAAAAAAGAATATTAGTTAATAAATCGATAAAAATACAATAAATAAAGTAACTGATAGTACTGGTATTAGAATAATCATTATATCATGTGCAATCAAGGTCAGTTCACAAGACATTTACTGACTACACTGACATGATTCTTCCTGATATGAATCAACTTACTGTCTTTGTAACATAACATATTACACTCACTCACTCACACATAAACAAACACACTAACACTCACACATGTATGCATGTAGGCACACAATGACAAACACAAGTACACAAACAAACAAACACACACACATGCACTCACTCATTCATTTACTCACTCAGTAGAAAATGTATTAGTTATTCCATAAATTCCATTTTATGCAAATCAATAACATACTAATAATGCATGCAGTACATGACACCAATAAAAACACATAAAGCAGACTCTTAGTAAAGACATACATTTACAAAAAAAAAATCTATGAAACTGTGACAAGAAAAATATATATAAACACCAAAATTCATAATTTATTAAAATCATGTTTTCTTCTTTTTCTTTCCTTTTTAACTCAAGGTGCTTTGGCATGGATTGGTGCCATTTTAAACTAAAGCCTACCCTTGCCATGATGTGTACAAATACCACTAGTCAACACCAAGTTCATTTGTTCTTATGTTCTCATATTTGTGCCTTTGTGCTTACAAAACTATGGGTACAACCTTTTCTATTTGGAATGTGTGAAATGATATTCTGTAAAATATAACATGCAGATTCATTGTTTTGTGGAGATGTATTCTCAAACATTTTTAACAATAAATTCCATACACAAAATATTGTTAACATGACATATACATCTCCTTCATCCTATTAAGATATTATTTGTCTGGACATACCTTCCCATTTTTTACCATGAAATGAATCTTAGTAGCAAGATATGTGAAAGGTGATTCATGTATTCATGTAAGGTGTTAGGAAATTGGCTAGAAAAATATAAATATATGACAAACACAAGCAAAGATACTCTGGGTGCTTAAAACCAATGGCAAGGTTAATATTACATATAAGAAGCAATGAGCAGTACTATGCATAACAGAACTAGGTCCCCTTTGATGTTTTAATCATCTGTAAGAGGACTGTAAAAGACGAGCAACATATATAAAATAAGGGAGCTACACTTCTTTTGTTATTAAAATGATAAAAATTTCCTTGAAAATTATTGTAATGGCTACACTACATATCTGTACCACTCTACTGTCTAGACTAAACACAAATCAAACAGCAGACCTGGCCTGGTGCATGGCTGTGGTGTGACTCTTCAGTCCTGCAGCTGAGCGGCATTCAGACCCACAAGTATCACAGACGAATCGTCCGCGTTCACTACCAGAGTCGTGCAGCACAACGCCTTGCTGAGAGGAACCCTCACCTAGGTAGGGGGCAGGTGGGAGGGACGGAAGGGTTCAAAATCAGTGGCTTACTTTTACTATTTTTTTCTTACTCATAAAAGAGATTTAAGAAACATTGGGTGGCAAATGGGGGTTGGAAGATATACATTTTACTCTTGTTCTTTTCATCTGTATTTGCATATTTTGTAGCTTCATCAAGCAATTAGCAAAGCTGCTAATGATATATATGCATATGATTATAAGAACTCTTTTTCAGATATAACTCTACACATCATAACTTACATAATTCCTAAAAAAACAATAACAAAAACACACACAAAGATTCAAAATCGACTATAAGCATTTTGTGAATCTGAATGAAGCATTAATCTACATGCTGTAAACATCACATGTGTGAAAGCAGATGAATAAAGGTGCTTTTGTTAGACACTTAACAATTTCATCCCAATTACACATCTTGTGTAATTGATGATACAACAATGAAACATTTACTTTCCTATGGGAGAAACTTTTGGTAATAAAACGTGTGGCATAACTGTCTTTGTACCTACTGAATGGTACCATGTGTATTCTCATATGAATGATACAACTGATTATGTGTAAATAATTACAACAAATTAAATTTAGCAGAAAACAAGTGTAATCTTACAACCCTTTAGTGTTTATAAAACTGCCCACATGTATGTCTGTGTGATATATATAAGACTATGTTTGAAGGATAGTATGTCTATGCACATGACCTACTTGAAGGGGCACTTGATACAGAACTGGCTGAGGAACGTCTTGATGTGGAAGCCTTTGCTGGGGCTGGTTGATGTGCTGTCACTGTCCCTGGTTGCTCTGATGACTCAAGTCCAGTCTTTTCAGGCCAACTTTTGATTAGCTGTTCCTGATGGCTGATCACACCTTCAACCTTCCAAAATAAAAGGATAATTATACAACTAACAAATATACACATGCAAATCAATTCACATTCATATGATCACCAAGACTATTTCCATTTTACATCTATCAATAATCATCAACTACAAGCCAAAACAAAGTTCTTTATGGCACTTTAAAACTACAAATTCCTTACCCAATTTTCTTTATCATCTTCCACAGGTAGGTTAACATAGCTCTCTTGGGTAAATGGTTTGTGATGCATTTTTGTGAAATGACGCTGTAAACTGGGAAGCAGTGCATTGCTTACACCACACTCTGCACACTCATACCTGCAAAATGAAACAAATTATCATCGAGCTTATGCAAGTACAGTACTTTACATGAAGAACACTGACCTATCTCAAGATCCTACAATAAAGCCCTCCACAGATGTAGTCAACACACAAAAAAATCATTCCTTCCAACATGTAATGAGTAGTATGACACAATTCCATACTGATATTAATGAAAAAGTATGTATGTATGGCTGTATGTGTATATGTATATGTATATGTATATGTATATGTATATGTATATGTATATGTATATGTATATGTATATGTATATGTAAACATCTGTGGATGTGATCATATATATATATATATATATATATATATATATATATATATATATATATATATATATATATATATATATATATATATATATAATAACTTTTTTTTTCTGAGGGAGGTTTCTCCTCATTCACAGCAGCCAGGGCCAAAACAACAAGAACAACATTTAGTACACACAACTTAGTGCAGGATAAACCATGCATGAACAATAGGAAGTCATCTTGGTTTGTGTGACTTTAATCATGAAGTGATAGGAGTTATCCATCATGAGTAGTTTAATAATTTGATCTTTTCTTTATAACAATTGATTTTTTATTTCTTTCATTTTCTTACAGTTACTGGACTAAGTAGCTGTCCCATACCTGAGATAGTCAGCTTCTCGGCAAAGATGTGACCTGAAGGTTGCAACACAAGCTGTCTTGAATGACCGACACATAGGGCACACAAACTCTCCCTTGTCTGGTTTTCCCGTACCTGTCTGCTTCAATAATGTCTGTTATAAAAGGAGATGGTGTTCATTAGAGAAAAAAAGAATTAGGAGTCAAAGTAGTCAACCTAACATAATAAAATAAGAAGAAGCAGTTACTCAAAATAGGTTTCCCTCAATTCACTATCTTCTTTACAACTAGTTCACTGTGAAACCTCCAGGACATGGTGGCTATCAACAAAATAATTATCAAAATTTTAAATACCTTTCTAGTCTCTGGATCGTCGTCTATCAAAATACCGCGGATGTGTCGAATACGCTCAGGGTCATTACGTTTCCACAGGGGCTCGTGAGAATGTTGTCCATTACCCTGACTGATGGGCTCAATATCTTCTGAATCTATCCGATAATACATGCACAACACCTGGTAAAATGACAAAAAGAAATTTCACATTATCTATTAGAAAAAACAAATTATGACAATAATATATTATCAATGAAACTGTAATATATGAAAATAAATACCAATTTTCTGTATACATACCCTAAACGGTTGGTAAAGATGTTTTGCAGCAAAATGGGCATCGAAGCTGGCTCGTACTGATGATCTGACGTTGCAGTAGCCACATTTATACTGACTTTTGATAGCATGCTTAAGGCTTGTGTGGTTTACCATCTCCTGTTGTGTAACTGAACAGAACTTGCACAATCCACACTGCCACTGTGGGTCTTGGGGAACTTGAGGAGCAACTGGTGCTGCAGGCTCCTAAAATAGATAAATGCAAGAAAAAATGTAACTGTGGTCCTTCCACAGAAAAAGGAAAGAAAAAATATAATAAAAGTATAACAACTTACTGGAACATGTTATCCTAGCTATCCTACTAGGAAAGACATTATCAAATGATAAACTAAATGAAATATCTGTATATCACATTTTCAAATGTACTCATAAAATATACCTCTGCTATCTTTTCTTCTTGTTTCTTTTGACCATCTGCTTCATCTGGCTCTCGGATAACAAAATCAAAGGCCTTCTTAGTCGGATGTTTTTCTTTCATGTGGCGTTCGACAACATTTCTTCGGTAGGATATATACGAGCACCATCCACACCTAAAAGTTTTTGGTACATTTGTGTCAATATGACATACTTGTTCACCAAACTGATTCCTAATTAATGTTGACCACATTTGAAATCAATTATCACACATACTATAAATTCTATAATCAAACAAACATGCATACATGTGCAAATAAAAAAAGTGAATTTATTTCAAAAATACCTGTAAAGCCTGTCTCCATGCAGCTTGAAGTGGGAGCTTATTTTTTCAACTGTAATTGTTATATCAGTACAGTGTGGACAAGGGAACGATGTAATATCAGCATGCAGAGTGCGAATGTGATACTTCAACATCATGTCATCACAAGACAAGTAGTTGCATCCATCAATACCACACGAATGCAACCTTTCATCAGGAACATACTTGGGCAACTTTTCATACTCCTCTGTTGGAATGGGATTCTTAGTTCTCATATCTATATCCTCTTTCTTCTTCTTAGCTTCAAAGCTGCTACCTGCCAGGTTCATCATCTTATCAAACATGAGTTCCTTTCTTTCCAAGCACGGCACTGGGTTGATGGGTTGTTTTGTTGGGATTGGACTTGTCTCACCTTCACTTAAGAATAACCTCTTGGGGATACCTTCTGGGTATTTTTCGTGTAATTTGATATGCTTTATTAAATTTAACCTCACTTTAGAAACAAAATGACAATAGTAG